CACACACACACACACACACACACACACACACACACACACACACACACCACGGCCCCTTTCACTGATCTAAACAGGAGCTAAACTGGAGAAGGTATTCCGCATGATAGCACGCTTGCCCGTTGTCCTGTCTACCAACCAACACACTGTTGCTTCTCTGGTTCCCACCACCTTCTTTCTCCAACATCCAAATCATGTTCGTTTCTGAGAGTTCCAGAGTAAGTCGCTGAACTCCAGAACACTGGCCCCATCTCCTTTCTCCTCGAATGACAGAGTTCTCCTTCCATGTCTTATTCCTTCTCTTGGCTCCACAGCTTCTCCCCAGCTAAGACTATGCTGAATCATCTTCCTGCCCTCTTCTAGCTCTTAAGTCAGTGCTTAGTCACAGGAGGTATTCAATGAATTCTTTTTTAAAATAAATTCTTAAGGCACATCATAACACCAAGTGAGTTATTCAATGCTGCGGAGAACTTTGGTTGTCCTTTCAAATCCCTCTTCTTGGGGCTGGGGGGTGGCTCAGTGGATTAAATGCTTGCACAGCAAGCATGGAGACCTGAATTTGATCCCAGCATCCACATTAAAAGTACAACATGGTGGCACATGCTTGTAACCCCAGAGCCAGGAAGGCACCTGATGTCAAACTCTGGCTTCCACATATGCTTGAGCACATGCACGCGCGCACACACACACACACACACACACACACACGCAAAAAAATTGGTGACTCTTGAGGAGCAAATAACCAAGGTTGATTGTTGTCCTCTATACATGTGGACACACACACACACAGGTATTTATACAACCAGGTACACTAAAGTAATTAATTAAGAAATCATTCTCCCCTCTTTGGTCACACATTCCCCAGCCCTCTCTTTAGGTGTGGCCACAGGACCCCGTTTGGACAATGGACAAGGAGCAGAAGGATAGGTGCTATTCTACACCTAGTCTAGAAAAGCCTTCCGCAAGCATCTTCCTATTTTCCCTTCCTGCTGTTGACTGGGTGGCCATGAAGTCCTAGAACACGGAGGCACATGATAGAGGATGCTGGGTGTCGGAGTGACTGCAAAGGGAGCTGCCTTTCCTACCTGCACACATCCTCAGCCACTGGCATCTAGAAAGGCATTGATACTTCCCTATAATCTAGTTAACACATTCCTTCAAAACCTTAACAACAGACGGACTCTAAAGAAACATCATCTTCCTGCCTTAAAAACAAGCAAAGATAACTAGGCTTTACTGTTCGTATTCTGCATATTGTAGCTGCCTTTAACTCAGCCATTTTATTTCCCATGACTTAGAGTAGGTACAATGTTTTGATTTTATATCTTATAAAACATGGAAGTGAGACTTAAACGCTGAAAAGAAGAAAATGAAAGATATTTCAGTTTTGATCCATACTGTAAATCAATTCTACATTTTCACTTTTGTCTTTAGTTCATCGAAATTATTTTTGAAAGAATCAATTACCTGCCAGGCAGTGGTGATGAATGCCTTTAATCCCAGCACTCAGGAGGCAGAGGCAGGTGGATCTCTGTGAGTTCAGTGAGGCCAGCCTGGCCTACAGAGTGAGTTCCAGGACATCCAGGGCTACACAAAGAAACCCAGTTAGTCAGTGCTAAATGCCATCGCATAGATTTTGTTTTGTTTTGTTGAGACATGCTCTCACTGTGTAGCACCGGCCAGCCTGGAACTATACGGAATGGGTTAGCCTTGAGCTAACAGACACCCACCTCTGTATGGGGTTAAAGGTGTACCCACCACCAGTTTTATTTGTGCTGGGTTGTTCTCCTGTGGGTGTCACCACATAGGTAAGGGGTCCTTGCAGGTCAAACCGCTGAAGCACGGTACTTCCTTAACTCACCACGTTTCCATTCTGACCCAAGCTTTAGGTACACACAGCTTGTCCCAAGGACTCGGTAACCACAGTCTGGACACTGCTCCGGTTACAAAACACGAGAGGATTTTCATGGAGCTACTTACAAGGTACAGACAGATGAATGCCAGCACAGAGGTCCCGATCATCCTGCTGGGGAACTGGAAGCAAGGGTCCCACTCATACACTCTGGTTTGAAACCAAGACTTCTCTCTTTCTCTGTGAATGAACAATCACACACATAAAAAAAAACATTAATAATAACAGTGGTCAAACAGCTTCTTACTTTCCCTCATCTTTAAAAACAAAGGCTGGAATTTAAGGGGGTGGGGCAACAGTTCTCAAAAACAAACAAACAACAACAACAACAGAAACTCCAACTTCTCTTGCAGCTAAGAGTCTCTGACTAGGTTCCGCCCCCCCCCCCAACCCCCCGTGTGTGATACAGGACTGTGTGTGATGAGGGGAGACTCCTAGGTGGAGCTGAGACAGACACGAGCCCCTTTCACTCTGCCTTGTTTTCTGCTATCCTCAGAAATGCAGACTAACGTCTGGTCCAGGCTGGAGTTCAGCAGCCACGCTGGACCATGAGACAGCGCTGAGGAGGAGAGGCATACGCTAAGGTGCTGGCACAGAAACGCAGGCGGCTTGTCTAGGGTCACTATGGTCACTATGGACTGCTCACCTCCAGAGTCCTTGTATGTGAGAAAGTCATACACCTGGGTCTTGATTCGAATGTTTTGACATGGGTCTCCTAAGCTAACTCTGTGGAAACTTTGCCATCTGGGACAAGATACCTCCCTTCTCTGGGATCTAACCAGTAAGCATGACGGCTGAGACAGAGGTGGGCTGGGCTGGACCATCTCAGAAGCTCTGGTGGGAAGCTAACCATCCCCACCCCTGGTCTTACCTCTTAAGTAAGGCTGTCACTACTCCCTGTCCCAAGAAACAAGACAGGAAGTACGTGACTCAGGCTCAGCCAATCTCTGTAGGCCAATCATCTAGACTCAGTAATTATTTTCACTGCCCTTTGATCCAAGGAAACATATTTTAATGACATTTTTTAATGAAAAGTGAAATGTCCCTTTCCTCTTACAGTTTGGAGATTGCAGTGGGGAGGAAGCCCACTCAGAGTACACCTCAAGCAGTTAAGAACACTGTCAGGAACACTAAGGAGACATAGTTTTGGAAATGTCTCTTAAGCCTCTGCCCAGTTAGCCTGGAAAGGAGTCTTTAGGGTCCTGCTCCCATCCTGGCTGCCACCCGGCCTTGGATTGGTTCTTATCAGCGCGACTCCTGCTGTGCCGCTCCACCATCTGGCAGGAATCGAGGGTTGGGGGTGGGGATGAGGGGGAGATAGAGTGGGCAGAGGGGCGCTTACTGTGGGCGGGGCTTGCTCAAGAGCAGCTTCACGTGTTCTGCCTGGTGAACCTCTAGCACCGACTTTTCTGGCTTTTCTTCCTGTGAGGAAGGAGGGAATGTGGTGGCTCAAAGACGCTCACTAGGTTTGGTTCCTTAAGGGGTCATGGTCGTGGAGCCAGGATTTGGAAAAAAGCTTAGTGGTCCCAGCAAGGGTCATCCATAGGAACAGGCTTCAACTTTGTCAGGCCCCTGCTTTCCCCAAAGGCCGGAGGGCTGGCCCTTCTCCACTCTCCTAGCCCAGGCTGCGCCAGCCACTGCTCCAAGAAGCTTGTCTCCCTCACCAGAGAGGCTGTGCAGGAAAGCCTGTGAGAGGGAGTAACGTGGCGCTGCTGCCTGGGCTGCTGTGGGGACAAGGCTGGGGAAACCAGTGTTGAGCACTCACTGCCTGCAGCTCCAGGCCCAGGTGGATTGGCAGAGCCTTAAGGAACATGTACAGGAAACGACCCAGCAGGAAACCCAGGCACAACAGTGAGGGCCAGTAGAAAATGAGGGTCTCGAACCTCCCCAGAAACTGCAACAGAAACAGAGTGGGATGTGGAAATTAGCAGGCTGTCCTGAGATAAGGCCGGCTCCCTCTGTGAAGACATAAGGCTAGGACTCTGCTTGCCCAGCGGCTCCTAACAGGATCCACCTTCTCTGCACAGCTAAAGCAGTAATCAGACGCTTGGTCTACATGGTCAGACAATCTCTGGTCCCTCCCACCCCCCACCCCATTGACCAATCCCTGCTCTCCTCTCCTATGGTCAGAAGGATAGATGGATTTGGAGGTCAGCGAAACTGGATGGAAACCTTTGAGCCCTTTTATTTTATGAAAATAGCTTTTATGTTTTGTTTGTTTTAATCTGGGGCAGAAAATAAATGTCACTTTTGGGAAATATGAGAGACTAGGAAACAGTAGCTAGATGGAAGGAAAGGAAGAAATAAAAGAAAAGAGAGGAATAAAGAACGGAGGGGGGAGGAAAGGAGAGGGAGGAATGATTTGTAATTACCACAAGGTTGAGAGTTGGGTAGTGGGAAATAACAGGCTTCTCAAGGGGGTGTTTGCAGGTTTTGGGTGTTTTCTTTTTCTTTCTTTTTAATGCTATTTTTTTCTTCTTCCTCTTTCCCTCTCTGCTTTCAGAAAAAGCTAGGGACTCAGTGTTTACAATGTACTGGTTGGTTTCATGTTTTGCTATATTCTGGGGTCCTTGTGTTTTGCTATATTCTGGGGGCCTTGTTCCCCCAGGGGAATTGGACCTGATGCTATGACATAGGGTACAGAGTCCCTGAGATGGAGGTGTCACAGTTTCCTTTCATCTTTATCCAGCACATGCTTCTGTCTTGCTGTGGCCCAAATAAGCATTTCCCGTGTTCCTCCCCATGTGTCCCTCCACAGTCTTGAACGAAGCTTAACAGATGGCAGTTTTTAAAGAAAGATTCTGAATTGGAGGTGAGATCCTGTCCTCTCCCTAGGTATCCATCAACATTTTGAATTTCAAAGGCACCTCTGGGAGACTGAGAGGTCAACAAGGTCAACAGGACTGTGACCCAGATTCCCATGACCTGGGATCAGTGAGGAAGAGGCTTCTCCCTGGGCAGAGGTTAGCCAGGAGTTCCCAGTCCCAAGTACAGATGTGGAGGGAATGCCCAACCTCTTGGGAGTTCTAAAAAAAGCCACTCCTGCTTTTCTAATTGGGCTCTGTCACACTCTTTATCACGTGCATCTAATTGTCTACTGTTAAATCCTGGGAAGGGTTAGTAAGTTCTAGGCCCAGATAACCTTCCAGACTCCCCCACACCTTCCCAGCAGCTCTGCTAAGTGCAGTGTGGCCCCTGAAGGCCACTGAAGAAGAAAGGACAGAGAAGAAGCACGCAACTTGAGGGTGGTGTAAGCCTTTTCTTTGGGGAAACCTGCAGACAGGAGGCCTACGTAAAGGCCCACTGCTGCTTACAAGCTGGGGTAGTTATGTGGTAGAAGGAGGGGGTCTAAGGGGGAGGATTGGAAGGAGGTCAAAAAGCTTCTGCTTTGGCCCCAAGTTGGCCATTGCTAGGGGTGGTCGGTTAAAGAGTGTCCATTGATAATAAACATCTTTCCTGGCTGGCCATTCCTGGGATCCACTGGGCAGGGCAGGGAAGGATCTAGAGAAATACATTCACTTACTGATAGATACCAAATTACGCACTGCCTGGAATTATCACAGTTCAAACAAATGGAGCTTTTACAGAATGACGGACCTGGCTAACAATATCCTTTTCATTTTGCTCCTTTTCTGGGTTTGGAGAACTAGCTTGCAACTTTCATTAACTCTGAGAAGGGCGGTGAACAGGTGGTCCTGCTGGGAAGGCTGACCTGGCTCAGGATGTTCAGTCACAATCTCAGGGCCACCCAGCTCTGGGCTTCGGTTTCCCTACCTGTTGGGGAGGGGATTGGGCATTGCTTCTGCATAGCTCCTGTCACTCACTGCCCCACCTCGGCACAGGTCGGTGTTGTCTCATTTCATCCTCTTGGCTCATCAAACCCACTTTATAGGTGAGGAGACTATGCCAAGTAGGTCACCGTAATCAGCAGAGCAGGAAGGTCAGCGGGGACTTACCTGCCCGTGGGGGCACTGTGAGATCTGAAGAACTGTAATCACAAACCTGCAAGAACAGAACCAGCCCAGAGCAGCCTGGTGAACACAGCCCAGATCCTGCCTGCCCCGCCCCCCACCCCAGGACTGTCAGCTCCTTCCTGACTGTGCCTAGCTAAGCACTATGTCTGCCAGGTGGGGACACATCTCAGAGTTCTTGCAGACAAGGGAGGAAGACACAGGTGCTCCTCCTCTCTCCCTCTAGCATCCAAGGAGGCAGAAGCCCAGAATCAGCAAGGGGTTTGTCCAAGCCACTTACAGACAACAGAGCCAGGGCAAGGTCTCAGGTCTCCTGAATGTGGCTGAGGCTCTTGCTGAATGTAGGTGGCTGGGTGGGGGAGTGGGAGCTAGGGATGGGCCTCAGGGACTTATAATGGAACTGTTCCCAGGCAGGTCACTCGGTTGACAGATGTCTCCTAGTACCAGCTCTGCATAAGTATGCAGTGCTGAAGTCATTCAACATGAGCCAAGTGCTCTCTCAGGTGGAGGGAAGGTGCCCTACACAAGGAATAGGAACACAGAAGCTCAGGGGCCAGAGTCCATGAGGACTCTAAAGAATGGCTGTTGAGTGAGTAAATGGAGAGATAATGGACTGTAGGAAACAGTGTGACTGAAAGTGTGTGCTAGACATCCTTAGGGACTGGAGGAGGAAGAGACCAGGTGAGGATGGCCTTGAATGCCAAGCAGAGACATGACAACTTTCTCTAGGAGAAGCCATAGACATGGGGCTCCTACCTCCTCTATGGAGACCTTCTTGGTTTCCAGAAGTGAGTTTTCCTTAAACCCTGGCTTCTAGGAGTATTCTAATCATGAGAATCCCCTCAGGAAGCACCTGGGGTCCTGGACAGACCTTTGGAAACCTCAGATGTACTCCCAAGAAGCCACAGTGGAACAGTGGGCAAGTCACCTCTGCCCACTGTGGGCCTTACTGTTCTCCACAAGGAAGCTCAGCCTAGCCTCCCCCTCCCCCCACCTAGAGTTCAGCCGTGGCCAAAATGGCCAGAAGAAAGTAAGTAGAGTCATCTTACCAAGTCAGGGAGTAGCCAAAGCCCAGGATGGAGCTGACCAACCGGAACTCTGAGGACAGGCAGGCAAAGAAGGGGAAGTAGGACAGGCCGACTTCCATGCCTCCGATGAAAAGCACAAAGGCTGTAAAAGACAAGGCCAAGCCATGTGGGATCCTCTGCTCTCTGCTCACAGGTGACCAGGAGAGGTGTAGTTCTGAGCTCAAGCCAGTGCCTAAGCCAGGACCCTAAGAGCTGACTTGGGCGAGCTCTAGGGCATGGCAGAGGAACACAGCAAAGTCCTTCCTTCATCCTTCCTGCTCCCCTTCCCCTGGCACGAGCCGGCTGACCATGAAGGCGAAGACTGGAGTTCTCTATACATAAGTATCTCACAGTGTGGCCGTCACAGACGGATCAGCCAGCAAACCAAGATGGCTGAGAGGAAGGCACCCAAGTGCAGCACAGAGGCCCACACAGGCATGCTGGGCATACTGGAAGCACTCTAAGGAAGATTATGGTCACTGGTCCACCTTTGCAGACCTAGAGCACTCTCTATGGACGTGATGGTCACATTGGTCCCACCACCGGCTAGCTCTGAGATGGGTTGACAGCATCCAGGAAAGGCTTAGTCGTCCAAGCTGACCTCTCCTGTGTGTCAGCCTTGAGCTGCTCCTGGACCAGGCACTGCATGGCAGCAATGGTCAGGGTTTTCGCTTTGAGACACTGACAGTACAGTGGGGAAGACTGGCAGGAAGGTGGTCTGAAATGAGCTGCAACAGGGTTCGTTCATCCTGCCACAGGGGCACAGACAAAGCCAGGGACATCCCATCCCAGGGAGGCAAAGAATGGAGCAGCCTTCCTGGAGGGGCTGACTCTGCCCCATGCACTATGGGAGTGTGTACAATGGAGAGATGGTTCTGTGATTGCATGAGAGCTCACCAAGCCTACAGAGCAGAGTAGCTCCTTAATATAAGCACGGAGAGGCTGGGGAGCAAGAACTCCAGCCAGTGGTCAAAGTATGCAATATTCCTTAAAGAGCCCCAGAAATCGTTGCTGTCAGAGGGCAGCAGGCTCAGGGGACTGTCTGAGGAGGATGAGGAAGACTCTACTTCTGGTGCCCTTGTCTAAGATACCTGTGAGTCTAACTCAAGGGAAGCTCCCCAGGCAGGCTGTGATGATTTGTGGGCTACCAAGCATTGACCTTGGGCAAGGAACAGGTTAAGAAGAATGTGGCCACTCACAGAGTTTACCCCACCAGACAACCCCCACGGCCTCTGGGAGCAAGTATGTCCAGATAATGTACCCAGGATGTATGAGGCAGCCCCGGTACCTTGGGCCCACTGGGGAAATTTCAGGGGCTGGTAGCCTTCTGAGAACAAGAACATGACCTTATTGGCTGTGGCCCCAAAGGCAACTCCATAGGACCACCGGTTACTGAAAGTCCCCACAAAGTCCAGAGGCCTGTAGACAACAGAAACGGTGTGTGAGTCTCTGGGTCACCTCGGAAGCAGCCATCCTTGCTGTTAGGGGAATTGTGGGAGGGTGGGCTGCTCACTGCTCACAGTCTAAGCACAGATTCAGGGCTCTACAGTGAGGAAGATGCAGTCCTTCCCATAGAGGACGTCCAGCTCTAGTGGGGACAAAGTAAGGACGCTAGGAGTCATGGCACCTACCAAAACAAAACAAGCTTTCATGAGATTTAGATAGTGCTCTGCTGACGTGTGTGTGTGTTGCGTGCATGCGTGTGCATCTTCTACTTTTTAAAAGTTGATTGTGTGCATTATGCGTATAGAGGTCAAAGGACGACAGCTTGTAGGGACAGGTTCTCTCCTTCCACCATGTGAGGATCTAGTGGTGGTCACTGGGCATGGCGGCAAGCACCCTCATCCGGTGAGCCATCTTGCTGCTCCGACAAGTTCATGCCCTTGTTCCCATGCCCTGCCCTTCATGTCACCATGTGCTTAGGAAATTATGAATGCTGCTGGGTGGAGCCTACAGGACCTTAGGGGGAACTCAGGCGCAGTACAGGTTTGCAGAGACACATCTTGTCCAACTGAATTCCATCAAGAACCAACCATGATGCCTAAGGTGTATGTGAGACGCGGTTTTCCCACGCTCAAAACAGAGATAGAAGCCCCCTACTTTGCTTATCACAGAGTCATTGCAGCGAGCAAATGAAGCTGGAGAGTACCGCATGCACACAAGAGGGGATGTATTAGTTACTTTTCTGTTGCTGTGATAAAATACCCTAACAAAAGGCAAGTTGGCAGGGGAGAGGCTTATTTAGACTAACAGTTCAAGAAGGGATACAAGCCGCTTTGGTATGGGCAACATGGCACCAAGAGCCTGACGCTGGCCACATAGTACTGATCACACTTCATCTGTGCCCAGAGGCAGAGAGAGAACAGGAAACCAGGCCCAGATATACATTGTCAACGCCTGACTCTAGTGGTGCACTTCTTCCAGTAAGGCTCTTCCCCTGAAAGGTTCCGTCACCTTCCCAAACAGTGCCACCAGCTGCGGACCACGTGTTGAAATACATGCGTCTAGGAGGGACGTTTCTCATTCAGCCCATAGCAGGGAGTATTAGTCAGTGACACTGAGAGAGGACAGAATGAACAAGAGAACCAGGGGCTGTGACAGGAGTCAGTCAGGTGAGTCATGGTAAGGTAATTCCAGGAATTTTAACATGGCTGCCCCATCAGTTCTGTCCGTTCCTTTTATGCCACATGTCCAGGGTGGGGTTAAAGGACCTTTATCAAATCAATATGACAGTTAATCCCGAATGCCAGTTTGATGAGATTTAACACCATGGCAACGTGCCTCTGGGTACATCCATGAAGCTGCTTCTGGAAACGTCTAGCCAACCAGCCCTGAATGTGGACAATACCATCCTGTCGGTTGGGATTCTGGTTGAATGGAAAGGAGAAAGTGAACAGAAAACTAGCTTCCATCTCTCTCTGCTTCCTGGTCGCAGATGCGGCAGTCTCTCGCCTCTGCTGCCATGACGACCTACTGCTTCTTAAACTGTGGGCCAAAGTAAACCCTGCCTTCTGTTGCGTTTTGACAGGTGTTTGGTTCTAGCAGTAGAAAAAAGCAACAAGCCCAGCCAGTCTCAGCCCTTTGCTGTCCCTGGGGGAGGCATCAGGAGGCCAGCTGCTTCTCAGAGCTGGTGCTCCAGCAGCCTGGGTGTTGTGGCTGGAGTGCTCTTGCCTCCCGGCTTACCCTTAGCCTCAGTTCTGGCATCATGGCTGATGGAACTGATGTAAAAAAAAAAGCCCACGACCTGGGACAGTCAGCAGCAGTACAATAAATGCTAATTGACAGTAGTGATGGTGGTGATGCTGACAAACGATGCTGATGGGGGTGATGGAGTCATGAGACAGAATAATTCAAACTCAAGAAAAATGCGCTAAGGGGGGGGGGCAAGATGCAGGACGGCATAACTAGGAAGACTCTGGAAGCCAGGCAGGATCTCATACATGCTTCATGAAGCCATCCCAGCCGGACGGGTGGCTGCTTTCAGTCGCTGGGGATCTTTTGCCTCTTGTTTCCTGAGGTGGCCACAGTCCCCTGAGTGGGAAGGCATATGGATGTAGAATGTTTCCCACTGTCTCGTGTGTTTGAAGACCTTGTTCCAGCCAATGGTGTGATTTTGGAAGGCTATGGACCTTCAGAGAAAGTCCTGGATGGCAGAAGCAGGGCAGGTCCTTGGAAGGTTGTAGCTCCCTGACCTGGCCGCCATGTGAGGACCTCTGCCACACACTGCAGCTGCCACAAACCACGCTGCTCCAGCCTCTGCACCTTACCTTCTTCATCGTGGTGGACCATACTTGCCTGAACTATGAACCGAAATAAGCCCCTACTGTCTTAAGGTGCCTCTATCTCATAGTTTATCATAGCAATGAGGGAATACCTTTCAAGGAGGGTCCTTTCCATGATGTTCTAGGTCTCCTTGAACCGTTTCTTCCTATCTGGGCAGCCCTGGGTGTCCATAGTGTCAGTGACTTGCCTGGTTCCAGCCTCTCAGAGCATTGTTTGGGGGAGGGGATTGAAGGGTAAGATGAGCACAGAGGAGAAGACTGAATCCTTGGAGTTACCTAGCCTTGTACTTTGTGTTGGGCCCAACCACAAAGTACCCCAAGCGTCAGGAAATGACACTGAATCAACTCACATGATAATTCCAAAATGGTGCCCCAGGAGGTAAGAGGTGTTATCCCTTTGTCTTCGATGCTCTCGTCTTTGTAGGAAAGACAAGATCAAAATGATGATGAGCTGTAAGGAGATGACAGTGTGTCAGGGGACCCAGTCTCCCTCAGGGTGGCCTCAGTGTCCTCACAGAAAGAGAATGTGCCGGCAAGGAGAGAGCTTGAAGTGTCTGTGATGCCTGTGGTACTTCAGAGGTACCAGGCAGTTCTGTACTGACCCTTCCTCTGTATGGCCCTGTACAGGTAAAGGTTCAAGTCCAACTTCCATCACACGCTGGCTGGGAGGGAGGCACATCCAGGCTGAACCTTGGTTTCTGTCTGTAGAAAGGCAGCCATGCCTGTTGGGTTTCACAGCGTTCTTCCCTTTGTTTCTGAGGACTTGGTCATGCTCTTAAGCACCAGATGCGGATTCTTTATTCTACTTTTTATCAGAATCTTCTGGAAACTTGTCTGCATGTGCTCTCTGTATTTCCTTACCTCTACTGGCCCCTCAGACCCTGTTGCTATGTTGAAAGAGCCATGGCTGAATTCACCAGCAGCTGTCACACCTACTACTTTGGGCAGTGCCCCATTCCAGCTCCAGCTCCCAGCAGTTCTCCAGTGCGGCCTGCACCTCCTCCCTACACCCTCTCTCCTGAACTTGGTCCATTGTGTGCTTGCTTTCCCATTCTTCCCCAAGCCCCTGGCTAGGTCATTCTTACCCTGGCTTCTGGATACAGAACTCCCCGAGGCTTTGTCTAAGCCCTATTTTTCCTTGTCCCTGCTCTCCTCCCTAATGAAAACTTTTTTAAAATATTTATTTATTTATTTATTTATTTATTTATTTATTTATTTATTTATACAGTATTCTATCTGCATTTGTGCCTGCAGGCGAGAAGAGGGCCCCAAATCTCATTATAGATGGTTGTGAGCCACCATGTGGTTGCTGGGAACTGAACTCAGGACCTCTGGAAGAACAGCCAGTGCTCTTAACCTCTGAGCTGTCTCTCCAGCCTTCCCCCCCCACCCAGTGAAAACTTTTGATGACAGAAGATTCACAAACGTGAGCCTCCAGTCCCAACCCTGCTCACCCGGGAGCTCCCGACCCCTTAGGCTACCCATCAGGCCTTTCTGCCGAAAACTCCTCAAATTCAGCATGATTTACACGAAACTCACGACGTTCCTGTTGCCCCTTCATCCACCCTAAACCTGGACCTCCTGCCCCACCCCCTCCCCATCCTGGGGATTGACTCTTCATTACGCAGGGCAGAAAGCAAGAGCTTTACCACTGAGCGACAAGCCCAGCCCTCATTTTGCTTTTTACTTTAAGATAGGGTCTAAGTTGAACTCATTCTGTAGCTTAGACTGGCCTGAGCTTTCAACCTTCCTGGCTCAGCTTCTCAAATCGCTGGGATCACAGGCCTGTACCATCAGGCCTGGTCTCCTCACTTTCCTGAACTCATGGGTGGCAGATGCCATTGTCCCTCCAACTGCACAAGCCCAGGAGCCATCCTCCACTGCCTTCCCTGTCCTCCCACAGGGCTCTTTCCTGCCCAGCCCCTCCCACCGCCTAGACTTTCAGGTCTCAGCTCTAGCTTTCAGTTTCTCCACTTTGCATTGATCCACCCTCCACAGGGCCTTTGTACATGTTTTCCCCTGTGTCTGGAATGTTCTTCACTACATCTTTTAAGATGACCTTAGCCCTGTCTTTATTTCTTTAGAAAAGTCCTTCCTGGGAGCTGAGGCGATAGCTTCGAAAACCCCTCACTGCCCAAGCATGAGGACCTGAATTCAATCCCCAACATCCACATGAAAACAAACAGCAAACAGATGTGATGGCATACATCTACAATCCCAGAGCTGGGGTGGTGGAGACAGAGAGGCCCCTGGTTGTCTAGCCAATCTAGTCTAACCACCAAACCGCAGTCCCAGTGAGAGGCTCTGTCTTAAAAAACAAGGTGAGGGCTGGAGAGAGGGCTTAGTTAAGAGCGTGGTTAAGAGCACTGCCTGTTTCCAGAGGACCTAGGCTCGATTTCAGTGCCCACATGGTGCCTCACAACCATCTGTAATCCCAGTTCAAGGGCATCCAAGGGCATCAAACATACATGTGGTGTAGTGAGGATTCTGGGATTTTGGTTTCTTTAAAAATTACAGAAATATTATAGTATGTTTTCATTTTAATCTGAAGTGTGGGGTTACGAGGCTGCTTCACAGAGGTTGACTCTGATTTGCCTTGTGCTGTAGCAAAGGTGTACTTTTGCCGGGTGCAGATAGTTTCTGCCATTGTGTGACATTTGGAATTCTGGGAACTTTTCAGAGGGTGTAAAAATGCTAGAGCCCCGATAGGAGCAGTTGTCAGTGGTTGTTGATCATTCATGGGGGTTGGTTGTGGTTTGGTAGTAGTCATGCACAAAGGAAAAAACAACATCAACTAGAAATTAGATATCCTGACTTGTAAGGTCAAACTTGTCCCAAGGAACTCCAAGCTTCTAATCTGCAGGAAGTAGTCTAAGATAACGTCACCTCCTTTCTGACGCCTGATCTCTTTCCTTTCCTCTCTCTTCTTTTTTCTCTCTTATCTAGTGTTAAGGGGGTGACATGGTAGAAGAGAAGGGGTTGAGAAATATGGAAGAAAAAAGAACAAAGTAGCAAACACCAGTTACAATGTGGTGCACGGACATGCAGACAAAACATTCATAAGTATATTAATTAATTTTTAAAAATGAAAAACAAAACCCAAAGGTGAACTCTCCCTGAGGAACAAGTCCCAGGATTACCTGTGACCTCTGTATGCATGCATACACATCTTCATATGCACCTGTACACACATCGACAGAGAGAGAGAGAGAGAGAGAGAGAGAGAGAGAACTCCCTTTCACTCTGCCAGAAGTTTCATATCTCTGGCTCTTGGACCCAAATGCTTTCTTTTGACTGTGTGCTTGGATTCAGGCTGTAAGCAACAGAATAGGAGTTCTGGAAGGAAAACCATCTGTTCTCTCCCCTGAGTGACTCAGGCCTGCCCAAAAGCTGTATGGCGGAACATCACAGCTCCCTCCCTTCCTTCATGACCCTCCCTCTACTGCCCCCGATTCTGTAAACCCCTCCCCCATGTTCCCCTACCTTTACTTACTGATGGGATGAGGGAGTAATGGAGGAAGACCTCCCCGTCTACAGAGTAGTCACAGGTGACATTCAGCTGCCTGGTCCTGAAAAACAGCCATAAACCAGGATTGCATCATCTATCAGTCACTGGGACAGCACTGACTCAAGCCTGAGGTATTTCTCTCAGGAGTATGGACCATCTAAGCTTCCTTACTTACATTTCCAAGACCCAACCTGCTCACTCACTGTCTTCCCAAATGGACTATGCTCACATGGCTCCGGTGATCTATTTAGGATCCCTGGAGTTGTCACCAAGACCCCTCCCCCCCAACCATGTCTGGATGACATACTCATGGGTAGATTTGGGTTTTGTGGGGTGTTCTTTTTAGGGAACACTACAGAAATGCCTGACTTTTTTTACAGTTTAAGGAAAACTGATGATGGTGAAAACCCTTAACTAGAGTCCTTCCCACCTTTCCAGAGCCCTGGAAGGGCCCCGTGTGGGTGAGCAGACTGAAACTGAAGCATCATTAACTCCCCAGGAAGTCAGACTGTGGACCTAGTTTTTCACAGCCAAGGTTAGAAACACAGGTGAGCTGCTGGGGCAGGAGGGAAGCAGGGGGGAAGCAGGGGGGAAGCAGGGGGGAGCAGGGGGGAGCAGGGGGAAGCAGGGGGGAGCAGGGGGAGCAGGGGGAGCAGGGGGGAGCAGGGGGAGCAGGGGGGAGCAGGGGGAGCAGGGGGCATCCATCACATTGCAGACGTCCTCAGGTGCAGCACAGGCTGGTGTGACCTCAAGTCAGAAACACGGGGCATCCTTCCCTGAGAGGAGGTCCTCTCCGTCACAGCTTGCTCCTGACTCCGCAGGACCGCCGTGGCCTGTTCTATCACTTCTCTGATCTTTGCCCTTCCGTTCTTCACTCCAGCACGTCCAGCTAGCCATGTCCTCAGCTTCATTCCACAACCAGTGGCTCCTGTTCCCTCAGAGGTCTCAGGGGAGACCAGAAACGCACACATCCCTGGAATTCTTTGAAATCCTAGCAGCCTGTGCTCATACCTCACCACAGATTGAAAATATCCCGAGGTGAGGCTCAGGCGGTGAGAAGGGAGACACTTTGGCCGTTAGGAAGATAAGAGCAGTACATTCATCACTCTCTCCATCCCATATGAAGCCTTCCACGGTAGGAAGGAAGGGAAGGAGGAAAGAAGGCAGGGAGGGAAGAGCCATACTTAAAAGCAAAAAGGGAGCTATGGTTGAGCTTAGACAAGATCAAAGAGAAAAGGGCAGCAGGCAGCAGGACCGTAGACTGTGGGGCTGAACGGAACAAACTTCACACCCGCACAAGAAGCAAGAGCGGAGCCAGGGAGGTGACTCGGCCGGTAAAGGGGCTTGCCACCAAGCCTGACAACCTTAGTTCAGTCCCCAGGAGCCAGCCACATGGTAGAAGGAGAGAATGGACTCCTGCAAGTCGTCCTCTGACCTCCACGTGCTCCCAATGACGCGCACATGCACACATGCTTGGGCACACACACATACTGAAAATGCAATGGGCAAGAGCAGAGCATATCTGGAAACAGAGCACAGAGTGCTGACATGGCGCTGACAAAGAGAGCAGCAAAGACAGGACAGCTTAGCCCAGTCAGCCTACCTCCAGCCCTGACAATGTATTTGTATCTCCAGGAGAGGATGCATGGGTCAGAGGGACCCCATCAGAAGTAGCACTTGGAGGGAGCCTGGAACTGCACAGCCAGCCATGAAGTGCCCCAGCTAGCAGGACACGCTTCCTCCCCTCCCCACTGAGAGCCAGCCTCAAGCCACACCTGGCACCGGTTACAGCCAGGCTCACGGCACAGGCAGCACATACTCCATGGAACTCTCAAGCACACATGAACACCCGCTCAAAACACAGGACACCACAGGAAAAACTGTCCCGGGAAGCCAAGGACTCAGTGAACTCCCTTGCTCCAGAGGAAGTGGCGAGAAGGCAGATTCTCTCTGGAGTGAACGCTAGAGGGCGCGCTCTCCAAGAGAAATCAGAGAAGAATGCCAAGGGACTGGCAAAAGACACTGCTATCTCTCAGCCCTGGGGATGTGAATATGTAAATATTTATTTTAAATATATAAATACCAAATGTTTTCACATGTAATATTCCATTTAATGATGTAGTAAATGCATATGTATAAAGACAAGAACTGAAAATTATTTTCTACTATAAGCTCTCTGAAAAAAATATTAGAGAAAATTATCTGATGATAAAAACAAGCCTATGAAGAAGGGTTTAAAAGCAGCAGGAACAGAAGAATCGGCAAAAATGGTCCATAGCCAGGTAGATGAATACCTTAAAATTGTTTGTCTGAACTTCACAGAATAGGATGTCTGACCTGGCGTCAACTCAAGCACCAAATGACACCCACATGAAGGACAGAGGGAAAGAAAACCTACAGGACTCTGCTCTCCTGTTTACAGGGGAGTGTAGGCTCTCATCTCCTCCCTTTGTGACAAAAACGAACTTCTAGGTAAGCGTAGTAATAATGCAATGGCTGACCACCAGAAGAGAGTGGCAGAACAGAAGCCAGTAAAAAGTCACGTGAAAGGAAAAGTTCAATCACTCCAACAGTGACCAGGAAGAGAAAGAAAGTGAGCGCAAGACTTGGCATCTAAAAACCGGTAAATAAGCTGCTAGTGGAGGGAAAGCGGTATTTAAAAAGACTTGAAATTCAAAATTGGCAAGGGATCCAGGTTTTCATTCCTCTTAAAAAATCATTTATTTGTTTTGTCCGATGTAGATAAGTGTTTTTCCTGCCTGTATGGAGGCGCGCTGTGTGCCTGCATGGTGACAGCAGAGGACAAGAGAAGGTGCTGGGTCCCCTGGAACTGGAGTTAAGGATGGTTGTGGGCCAGCATGTGGGTACTGGAAACCGAACCTGGGTCCTCTGTCTGAAAGAGCAGTGGGTGCGTTTAACTGCTGAGCCACATTTCCAGTCTCCTGAGCTTTCATTTCTCAAAAGAAGACTTCAGTGGGCCACAGGGGTTGTTAGCCAGTGTGGCGCCTCCCTGAGCACCTAGAAGGCTCCGGAAAGGGTAAGGACGAAGAGAGAGGGTACTGCTTACAGTATTGGTGGGAACTAAAATTATAGACACTGAGGAAAAAACAGTGTAGATGGTCCTCAGAAAGCTCAGCACAGAGCTGGGCATAGTGGCGTACTCCTGTAAGCCTGCCACGCAGGAGGCAGAGGCAGGTGGATCTCTGAGTTAGCCTGATCTACATAGAGAGCTCTCAGCAGCCAGGGCTACATAGCCAGATCCTGTCTAAACATAAACAAATTCATTAAGTGTGGAACTACCACAGCCCGCTACACCATTCCTGGGTGTGCATGCGAAGGAAAGGACAGGAGTCCGCTCCCGCGTTCTCTGTGGAACTTTTTGCCATCGCTAAAATAGGGAATCAGCTGAGGTGCCCGCTAATGGATAAACATATAAAGAAAATGTGCTGGAATATTACTCAATTACAGAAAAAAAGAAAGAAAGAAATCCTTTCACTTGCAACAAGATTGAGTCTGTAGATAGCAGGTTTTGTGGAATAAGCCTGACACCAACAGCAAATATGCTTTAAAAAAAATGATCACAGGGAAGTTGGGAGGCTGGGAAGGATGGGGAGCAGCGGAAGACAGGCGGGGAGGAAGGCGTACAGCTACTGAGGGGGGTACGTTCCAGCGTTACAAGGCACAGAGGGTGGTCACGCTCCGCAATAAGGTACTGACTGCTCCCGTACAGCTGGAAAAGGAGACTGACCTTGCTCCCAACACAAGCCCTGCTCTGGTTGCCACTCAGTGTTTGAGTGTGGAGGCGTGTGCCATCACACCCACAGACCTCTGCTGCTATTGCATGGCAGCTAGAATGTCGAGGTTACAAACAATCATCTGGGAGGGGACGCACCTGCAAGAGGGTCAGGAAGTCAAGGCTGGCTCCAGATATGCAGGGCCACCTGATTTCTTAACAACAACAACAACAACAACAACAATAATAATAAATAAATCCTTAGCTCTCAGCTAGTACTGAAATGAAAGGTGATGCCCCCTGACCTTTCACACTCGGAGGCCCTGCAAGGAGCCACCAACGGTGCTGAGGGCTGAGAGTTGATGACCGTATCTTGCTGCTCTGAGCTACTACGCTTTGCTCATCCACCAAGAACCTCATGGATGAGTAATTCGCTTTTGGAAATTGTACTTGCAAGAAGCGCAAGCCAAGCATGCCCAGAGAGGCGCCTGAAAATGTGAACTAGGACGCAGGTTCTCTCTGTCTCTGTCTCTGTCTGTCTGTCTGTCTCTGTCTCCCTCCCTCCCCTCCCCCTTCCCATTTCCATCCCTCTCCAGCATGTCCTAAGCACTATTTCACTGGATTTCTAGTCCACGATTTAGCTTTTTGCAGGTTAGGTAACATTAGCCTCTTTAAAAAAAAAAAAAAAAAAAAAAAGGAGCCAAAACCAGGATAGGGGTGGGGGGTGGGGAGGTGGGGGCAGCTCCTAGTTGACAGGCTCCTTCTTGTTCCAGACAAAGCACAGCAGCTTCCCAGAGCTCCAGCACCCTGGGCTTTCTTGGCACCCTCTGGAGTCTAGCTGGTGCCTGACACTGAGGGGCTTGGGATGGTCATTGTTTCCAGAAGAACCTTCCGCTGTAGGCTGGAGCCCAGAGAGGGGCAGTGATCAGGGAAAGTCACACGGCTCAGAACTGTTTCAGGTCCTGCTCAGGTTGCCAGTTTCACAGGCGGCAGAAAGAATAGTCCCTGGTTCAGTACAGGAGACAGTCATGGGAAGGGGGGCAGACACATGCGTGAAGTATGTCTGTACAGGACTCGGCGCGCACACCCGATGCCAGGGAATCTGCTTTATGTGGAATCCACCAAATCCACAAACTCTAGCCTTGAAGGGTTGAGGTGGACCCAGGTGTTGCCAAGGCTGGCTTGGGTCCGTTTGGCAGGGTCAGCTGTCACTACCAGGAACTCTGCATGGCATCGTTAAACACCGTGGTCAAAATTTAAATGCAGAATGTGTAAAGTTACAAATAAGGGCCAAAGTAATAAAGACTGGAAATGTCTCATTCCTGGAG